CTGCCAAACTACTTTCTAGAGAGAATGTACCATTTTACATTTATACAAAGACTTAGTTTTTTTTGCATTCTCACCAACATTTGGCATTGCCAATATTTTTTAAATTTCAGCTGTTTTAAGAAAAATGTAGTGATGTCTCATGTTCTTAATTTGCATTTTCCCAATGCCAATGACGCTGAACATCATTCCGTGTGCTTATTTGCCATCTCTACATCCTCTTTGATAAAATGTCTGCTCAGGTCTTTTGTTCATTTTGTAATTAACTTTTTTTCTTCCCTGTGGAGTTTTGGTAGTTCTTTATATAGTCTTGTCCTTTGTGGTATATGTGGTTTGCAAATATTTTCTCCTTGTTTGTAGCTTATCTTTTTCTTTGGTCTCCTTTTCCCCATTTAACTTTAATTTTTTCATGACCATGAGCAACAGAGAACAGAAAGGAAGAGATAGAGAAATGAACACCATCAGGGCCTCACACTGAGACCCTCCCAAGCGTTCCCAGGCAGCCAGAATCAATGGGGTGCACTATTGCAGAGTGGCATTGAATGAATGACCACAAAAGCCAGATTAAATTGAAAGGGAGTCTGTATTAGCTGGCCAGCTACTACAGCCCAGCCTGGGGGGCCGAGATTCAGAACTGCAGTGCCAGCCAAAGTTTAGGCTAGCCTCTTATAGGTCGGTTGCTAGTGGGGCAGGATTCCTATGTGAAAGAGGTTACTGAGCTGAGTCAAGCAAGTTAATTATTTCTGAGGAGAGTGGGGTTTCCATGCAACCAGTCACATTGCTAAACAAAGGGGTTTGGGGCTAGTTAGTAAAGACAGTAGCGGGTACAGAATGTCATCCAGGATATGGTTTTAGCACTGGCTGTTTTCTCATGGGAAGAGCAAGTAGGAATACAGAAGCAGACAGCCATGTTAGGGGAAGGGTAAAAAATGGACGAACATTTGCTCATGTACAAAATCAAATATGTGACCTTCCACAGTGCCTGTCATGTGCAGGTGGGCACTGGGGAACCAAATCCATGGTCTCCCATAGGGCCCAGGTTTCCTTGAGTAGCAGGTTACTGCTGAGTCACGTGGCTGACCCTTATCTTTCCTTTTTTCACAGAATATTTTGCAGAACAAAAGTGTTTGATTTTGATAAAGTCCACTTTCTTGATGTTTTTCCATTAAAAATTGTGGTTTTGGTATCATATCTAAAATCTTTTCACCAGGCTCTAGTTTCTGAAGATTTTCTGCTATGTTTTATTTTACATTTAATCATAGAAGCTACTTTGAACATTTCTTTGAATAAGTTCTGAGAATTTGTGTATTCTTTTTCTTTTCCTTTTTCCCCTCTATGAGTATTCACCTGCTTTAACATCGTTTAAAAAAAACTGTCCCTCCATTGAGTTGCGTTGCACCTTGTCAAAAAATGAGTTGTAATCCATTTCTGGATTCTCCATACTGTTTCATGAATCTGTGTGTCAATTCCTACAAAAATATCAGTCTTTATTACTGTTGCTGATATAATTCTTTAATTTGGTAAGAATGATCCACCTCATTTTAGTTTACTTTATCAAATTGTTTTAACAGATTTAGTTCCCTTGCATATAACTGTTAGAATAACTATATCTGCAACTATTAGAAACACTGTTTGAATTTAGAGAGAATTTGCATGTAACTTAGTATCAATTTGAAGTGAACTGCCATCTTTACTTTCTTTTCATGGGTCAACACAAGTCTCTCTTTTATTTAGATCTTTGATTTCTTTCATCAACATTTCAGCCTATCACTCCTGTACCTTTGTTCTATTAGTTATACTTAAGTGTTTCTGTTTCTTTTTCAAGTAATTCTAAATGGTATTGTACTCTTAATTTTAACCTTTACTTCTTAATTTGTGTACAAAGGAATAAAATAGACTTTTTAATTTTTCTGGAAAGAGAGAGAGAGGGAAGGTGAGAAAGCATCCCCGGGGGAATGGCCACGCTGCACTCTCTCCTCCATTCTTCTTTTGGGATTTGGGGCACGCACACACACACACACACACACACACACACACACACAGTGTATTTTCTAAGTCATCAGGTTCAGAAATCGAACAGTGCAGACGACCCTGTGAGATCCTGTCATAGGAGAGTGTTGAGCTCTGTTGTGTGAAATCCTTGGTTCTTTGGGTCCAGATCACTGGAATTAGAGACCCGTCCCTAGGCACAAAGTAAAACCACAACCACATTAAAAGTAGATAGGGAAGAGAATTTAATAGAAAAAAGATTTTAGAAAAGCTCAGCAAAAAGACTTTTGGGCAGATAGATTGCTAGGTAGCAACTGGATTGGGAACTGGTCAGGTGTTATTTTATTACCAGAGGTGATCACGAATATTTAACAGGGGGAGGGCTGTCACACTATCTATTTCCTTTAGTTGAATTCCTGCGCTGTTTCTGTGCTTATGTATCTCTCTCACAGGTGAAGATTTTGATTACCTAACTGCACAAGCCCAGTGTGAGCCATGATGCCTAACTAGGATAGACTGTCCAAGTAGTTTATTGCCCCAGTGGGAATCGGGATGGTGACCAAAATGTCTGATTGGGTCTTTTGAGTTCACAAGGAATGATAAGAGGGAAATTTACAATCATCCCTATGTGTCTTCCTCAGGTTCCAAGGAAGGAAAATGGATTTGCCTCGCCTTCCAGGTGCCAGGAGCTGGGTGGGAAGAAGGCATCTCATGGAGGGTCTGGTTGGAGCTCCTGATAAATCGTGATTGATGTGACAGGTGTCCTTCTGCTATTCTCTGAGGGCTGCCCACTCATTACTACATGACTGCCTACCACAATCCAGCCTCCTCAACCACCATGCCACCTGGCGGGCCTAAAATTGAATTTTTGTTTCTTTATCTTGAATCCTGTGACCTTCATTAACTATTTTATTAATGGGGCAAAGGAGGAAAAACATTTACTCAGTCTTTCACTGTTAAGTATAAATTTAACTGTAAGATTTTTATAGAAGTTATTTATCAAGTTGAGAAAGTTCTCCTTTATTTCTACTTTTCTGTGGGATTTTATCATAAGGAGTGAATTTCATCAAATGTTTTTTCTGCATCCACTGATACAATCATGTTATTTTTCTTTCATTAGCTTGTTAATATAGTGGATTCTTTTTCTTTTTAAAAAATTTGTCAGTGACCATGTTTATTCACTGGAGAGAAAAAGAGAAAGTGAGAGAGTATCCCCATGAGTGATGGCCACACCACAATCCACTCTCCTCCATTTCCTCCTTTCAGGATTTTGGGCACACATGCACACGCACCAGAGTGTTTTCCAAGCCACTGGATGCAGGATTTGAACTACACAGTTGACCATGAGGGATCAGCCACCTTAACCACCATCCTACTGGATGACGCTTTTTTCTAGATTTTACTGTTGATTTGTGACACTTTATCTGCTTTAGTGTATACATATAGTTCTATAAATATTGTTTTCTAAGCATTGCTTTCACTGCATCCCACAATTTTTGAAATGTATTTTCACTTTTCATATAGTTAAATAGATATATTTTTCCCCTCAAGACAGCTTTTTGACACATGGATTACTTAGATATTGTTTAGTTTCTGAGTGTTTGGAATAGGATTGGTTATCTTTATGTTGTCAGTTTCTCTGTGTCCAGAAAACACAGTCAGTAGAGTTTAAATTCCGAAATGTTTTTGAGGTCCATTTCTGCCTTAACATGTGATATATCTTGGTAAAGGTTTTATGGAAACTTTAAAAGAATGTATTCTGCTCGTTTGGTGAAGTGCTGTGTGTCTGCTGACAGGCCATGTGTGATAGAGGGGTGAGTTATAAAGTTCCAGGGTTATTGGTATATCACTGGCCTACTAAATTGAACAACCCTGGAACGCCTACCTTGAATCTATCAACTATGTGGGATAACAAGTTAGAGAAAAATAAAGCAAATTAAATTAGATTTCTTCACATCAGTTGTAGAAGCCATCTTCATTGAAGTACTTATGATATGTATAGCTTTTTTTTTTAGGAGGTTTGTGCCTTAGGGCATATGTCCTTGCCAGAGAGAGAGAGACAGTGACAGTGAGAGGAACAGTGGGAAATCATCCCCCAGGTGTATGGCCGTGCTGCAACTCCTTCTCCTCCTGGGATCTTGGGCACACATGATCAATGCA